AGCAGAAACCCTAACAGCTAACCCACGACAACCAGAGACCAACGGTGACGGTAGCTCACGGTGACGGCGACGAGGGGGCGACGGGTTGTGACTGCTGCGCACGGTGATGGTTATAGGTGGCAGCTAGCGACGACGGAAGCATGAACTACGACGAGACAGAAACCACGAACAACAGCATCGACGACGGAAACCCACGAACAGCAGCATCGGCGACGGCGGCAACGGCAGTGGGCACTGACGACAGTGGCAGTGGGCGACGGTGGCAGCATTGGCGGTAGTGGGCGACGTCGGCGACAATAGTAAGTTGAGTTGGATACCAATGAACAAAACCCTAATGGGCACAAAATCCTAATGGGCACAAAACCCTAAGTTCAAAAATTTTAGAAGAAACCTAGTAGCTCTGATACCATGTAAAATTTAGGGAGAATAACAAAATAGAATTCGATTCAATTAATTCCTTGATATAGACCTAATAACCTATTTATTATACGTTAATTCCTAAACATAATAGGAATAGGAATCTAATAAGACTACTAATAAATACTCTAACATAGAGTAAACGTCAAACTTATAAAAGTTCGAAAATTTTAGACCGAATCCAAAGGAAAGGAGATTCCCAACATATGCTCAACAATTCTACCTTGAGTTTTAACCAAAGAGAAGAACTAATTTCCAAGTGCTAGCAACAATGCATGATGATGACTACAAAATAGCACTTCACGATGAGTATAGTGTGGTATGTTCGATTTTGTCACTAATTAGGTTACTTTTTTATATAGGTGACATTATTAATTCGAGGGCGAATCCTTTTCAAGAATGAGGAGATGATATGATCATAATTGGCCTCAAGTCCTTTGATCCAAGTATTGCCAAGAGGAAAGCTCGACCACATGCAGAATGCCCACAGCGTGCATGACTATGCCACCAACGGCGGGCTAACCTCACAAGGCGTTGCCCCGCTTACCACACCTTCGCTCGATTTCTAATCTCCATGCGCGCCAACATCTCGTACATGCATGCATGCATCTAGCTCGTGCGCTCTAATCGTTCACTCGCATGCAGCCTCAACCGCCTGGGCCATCTGTTCGCACATGTGTGCGCACCTTGCCGCGCATCCGCACACACCCGCGTGCCCGCTCGCTTCAATCGCTTGCTCGCATGCTGCCTCAGCCGCACGCACCCTTCAGCCGCCCGCGTGCATGCCTAGCCATCGCCAACAAGCGTGCGCTGCCTGCCGCCGCATGCCCTACCTCGCATGCTGCCTCAACCAAGCATATTAGGTTTTTGTATTTTACCCCCGGAGTATGCTTGTTTGATTGGTCATCAAACTCATGGAGTGTTTCTGATTTTGAGCATGGTGAGTATTCTGTCTGCTCAAGGTAACGACTACAAAGGTAATTCATCTAACCCTTAGCCTTTCGGGTTGAATTCATCTATACAATTGAGTTCAAGTGGCTTGTGGCTCGAATAGTCCAATATGCTTGGTTGTCGCGTATAAAAAATGATAGAATTTTGATATCCTCAATGGTGGTGCCATCTTCGCTTAAGTTTGCACTCTCTCCGGTAATCGAATTTATCGTCGCAAGCGTATCAGACTCAATGATCAAATAAGGGAAATTCAAGTGAATACCTAAATGAAGCCCCTTCAAGATCGCTTGAAGTTCAGCTCAAAAATGGGAGAAAGTAATTGGACAACAATTTGGGCAGCCACAACAACCAGCCCAGTGTTATTCCGTCCTACAATCCCAAATCTTGTTGTGTTCAGCGTAGGCCAGCAAGCTGCATCGACATTTATTTTAATCCACCCTCTCGCTAGAGCTTTCCAACTAATGCTAGTCGTCGATATCCCCCTTGCTCAAGATTCAACCAGAATTTCATGTTTTCGTAAGTCTTCCCCTTTCACGATCTCGTTCATATACTGCATAATCCAATCGTCCTTCAACGTAGCTTCAGGAATCAGTTGATTATGGTAATAATTATTTCGATCGTTCCATAAAGTCCAGCACGTGACACAAACAACTTCCATTTCTTTTGTAGACAAGATATCAGCAAAGAAACAATCGATCCTTTATGTTGCCATTGAAATTCCCATGGTTCAAAATTGTAGGCATGCCAACGATCACACTTCCCTTGCTTTTCGACAACGAAAAAAGGGCGTGATTTGTATACTCAACCGACTTCCCACAGACGGGGCAAACAGGTATGATATCCATACCTCGCTTCATAAGATTACCACGGGTTGAGATCCAATCATGAAAGGATCGCCAAATGAAACCTTTAATTTTAGATGGGATTTTAAACCTCCATAGTTTGTTCCACCAAACTGAGTAATGATTATGGCTTGTTGACTCCAAATTGATCTTCTTGGACATGAAAAGTTTATAACCACTTTTAACATTGTAGGATCCCCTTCTATCGTAGTGCCTAATCCAAGAATCTGTTGGGTGTTTTACTTACTGGAATCTGGATAATCTCATTGTAATCCTCCATATTAACAGAACTTTGGAGCTTCAAAAGGTCACATCCCTTATTTGGAAGAATGAACTCCTCAATTTTGCATAAGTTATTGCCATAGCTAACAGAAGTTGGCTTAAAAGTTTCAGTTCTCAGGATCCATTTGTCTTTAAAGAAAATGATCAATTTACCGCCTCCCACCTTTATTCTCAGTCCGTATTGGAGAAGGTCTCTGCCTTAGAGAATGCTCTTCCAAATATATGAGTCATTGGTATTTTCTGTTGCACTAAGAAAAGTCTTATTAGGAAAATATTTCCCTTTAAGAACTCGAGAAATCAAAATATTTGGATATTGCATAATGCTCCACCCTTGCTTGGCTAGAAGGGCCTTGTTAAGACTAGGAGTGTACATCATACCCCGAAAAATCGCCCTGACCGATCGAAACCAACCAAACCGCAATTAAAATCGACCAAACCGACTTGGTTTGGTCGATTTTAATTGTGGTTCGGTCGGTGTCGGTTTTACCTTTTGTAAAACTGACTAGTCGGTTGGTCGGTGGTATCAAATGACGTTTATTTCGATGTTTAAATGAGGGAAGATGGTGTCAACTTTGAAGGTGGTTTTGAGAAAAACCAGGGGCATCCGTGGTTTTCTCGAAACCACCCAACTTTTTATTTGTTTAATTATTTCTCTCTCATCTCCCATTTCTCGAACCCTCCCCCCCGTTTTCATTTAATTTTTATTGTTTTCATTTATTAACTCTTCCCCTCTCTCGATTCCCATTTTTTTCCATTTCTCAAAGTTCCTCCATCTCGCGCTCCTCTCTTCACTTATGATCTTTCTCCATCATTTCTTCTTCTTTTTCTATTTTCATTACCATTTCATATCTCTTTTTCTTGTCTTTTCTTCTTTATTTTCACATTATCGGCCTTTAACGCTTGTTTTTTTTTCCTCATCAACACAGTCTTATGAAGTTCTTCTCACTTCTCAACGACAACATACGCACAGTCCTCTATTGTCCTCGTCGTTGCAGTAACCTCCTCCACCCAATAGTTGGTTAGTTGAAAACCGACCGACCAAACCGACTCGATGGGAAAGCAGTGGCAATGGTCGGTTAGTTTCTATTTTTGTAAACTGATCATGTGTCGGTCGGCGTCGATTTCGGCTTGAAAATTAACCTTACCAACCGATGTACACCCTTAGTTAAAACCCTCAAGATCCTGAAAATTTACCAACCGACGTACGTGGGAATGGCTTGTGCCACACTTTAAATAAGAATCTCTTTTCCCGCGATCTAGAAAAAACTTGACTTCCACCCTTGAATAGTGGTCCATATTTTCTTTTTAATATGTTGTAAGTCCTCCCCTTAGATCTCGAAAAAGCTGAAGGAAAGCCTAGATATCTTCCCAGATTGCCAACCTCCGTCACCCCAACATACTTCTTAAAACTATCTGCAATCCATATTAACATTTGGAGAAAAGCAAATTGCTGTTTTTGAGAAATTTATGCTTTGGCCAAACGCTCTCTCGTATTCTCGAAGAATGCAATGAATTTGTGAACACTTTAGCGCATTGGCCTTGAAAAAGATAAGGTTGTTATCCACGAAGAAAAGATGAGAGATGTTGGGGCAATTGCTATTAAGTGATATGTGAGCTGCAACCAACGAGGAAGACAGGCCCTCCACGCATAATAAGAATAAGTACGGCGAAAGGGGATCCCTTCGATAATGTTTCCTCTTGCCACCCCATTTATAAGAATTGAGAAGCTCAATACAATCCATAATCAAATCAACCCAAGTATGATAAAAACCCATTTGAAGCATAATCTTCTCAAGAAAGCACCATTCTACTTGATCATAGGCTTTGCTCATGTCTAATTTAAGTGTAGCTAGCCCTTGGGAGCCCGTCTGAAATGATTTTCTCCAGAATGGGCTTCACCCAGTATCGTTGATAGAACAGGGCCGAGTGTCAGGACCCCGAGGCTTTTGACGGATGCATTTGCCTTAAGGCTCTTTCAATCTCCAACCTGCAAAAAGGAGCACTAAGGCAAAGATCCATACCTTGAATGACTCTCGGCACAACATGTTGGAGGACACACTCCATGTCATTCAACGTAGGGTTATTGGATGAGAAAATGTTCTGAAAATATTATGTGAAGCTGGCAACCACTTTATCCTCATTCGTCACCCAATATCCTGTAGAATTAAGAATACCATGGATACGATTTTGGTTTCGGCATCTCGTTGCTCTCTCATGAAACCATCGAGACTGTCTCCCCCATTTTAGGTAGGTTGCACCATTTTGTAGCGAAATTGTTAGCTTACCAAATTAAGCGTCATAATCATAAGACACAAAATTAAAAGTTTAAATATTTATTACAAATTTTTTGAAATAGATGAACTAAATAAACAAAGCCTTAAAAGTAGTTTAGAACTTATTCGAAACATTTTAAAGTAAACCAAACACAACCCAAGTTCATATACCAGACCTATAATTTAACCCAAAAGAAAATTAAGAAAAGGACTAAAAACAAAAAGAAAGTAAGATTTAGCCATAATCCCCATGGAAAGAAAACCACAACCACATGAATATGCATGCACATAAGACATGAAAGTTGAAACCCAGAGAAGTTTGTGAAGTAATTGCCAAAAAGATAGCAAATTACACCGTTTGTTTCTTCTGTAATCACAGCCCACCTTGACCCAATTGAGGAAAAAGAAAACGAAAGCTCCAATGGAGAGAGTTAGGACATTTCAATTAAAAAAATTCGTTCGTAGAGAGAGAGAAAAGAGTGAGACCCACTTTCCCTTTCTTTATTTGTGGCCGTTCATTGTCCAATTAAGCCAACTAGAACTTGAACTGTGACATTACATAGGCCAATTTTCTTTTTCGGAAATTCTTCTGCCCAATCATTCGTGCATTGGGAAGTTGAATCCGGAATCAGCGGTGGTGATCAACACCCGGAAAAGATCAGATGGTGGAAAAGGGTTTGGAAATTGTTCATCAATCATGCTGATGTTTAGAGAGAGAGAGAGAGAGAGAGCCCAATACGTTTCTCTGTCAGAGAGTCCGGCGTGTGTGTAATTCGTTGACGTCAAAGCGACAAAAAAGCCATCGAGTGCATCGGAACCCATCTTCGCAACTTGCCTTTCGCTTTGCCCCCATCGCCCGCCCCTTCCATCTCGTCTCTGTTCTTTGGATTTCCCGATTCCAATATTCATCTTTGATCTGTTTTGTTCTCTGGGGTAAGTGTTTCTCTTTTCCCCTTTTGGGATTTTGGACTGTTCTTCAAAAACCCAATTCGTTTTTTCCTATTTCGAATTCTGGGTTTGAACTTTTATTGGTTCTTTTGCCTTTTAGTTAGCTTTTCTCCCCTTTCTAATACTACCCTTATTGGACTCTCATAGATTCTGGTTTTATTGATTTATATGATTTCTGGGAATTTGTGATTTGGTCATGGAATTTTGTGTAATTGTGTACTGTTTTTCTTGCATGTACTTCTCTTTTTTTGTACTACAGAGTGACTGGGATAGAGTCGCTTCCGAAGTTATGTCATCGTCTTCTCGAGTTCTTCCTAAGCCGTTGGAAGAGAAGTACCCGAAATTGCCTGTTTCTTTTCAGGGTTCCTCACAAAGCGAAGCCATGAGACATCCCATCCCCAGGCAGGTCCCTCCATTAGTTTCTAGCAGTGGCACTGTAGGGCATTTGTTTTCATCATCTTCTGGATTTCGAAGCGATTTCCCATTGATGCAACCTTTGTCTCAAGATACAAACGCCCAGTTTTTTCCATTCATTTCTCAATCTGCTAATGATGAATCGTTGTTGCCTCCTCATGGTTCTTCACAATCAGAAGTACAATCTACTGCGGTGACCAATAACAACTTAAATGAGAACAGTGCGTCTTGGAGTACAGATACACTTCAGGATTTGCTTGATTTTCCCGACAATGTTCCCGACCAGAACAGTCAGGCACAAAGCATGGCCGGTGTCCTAATGTCGGATGATCAAGCTAAGAGGAATGATTGGCCTGATTGGGCTGATCAGTTCATTTCTGTTGATGATGCACTGGAGCCAAATTGGAGTGAGATTTTTTCTGATGCTAATGCAGGAGATCCTAAACCAGAGGTTGGTTCATTCTTTCATGATCCTTTTATGAGTTATATTGCTGTTTTGTGGTAAGTCCTTGGGGTTTCTTAGACTACCTTAATCTTTAGTTAAGGTTAGTTGAAGGTGTTAAATCATTTGAAAGAATGATAAGTTAGTTTGTATCAGAAAAATGGCATTGTATCATTTAAAATAGGGAACTACTTTCTCCGACATCCTGAAGTACTGCACGGGAATGATTGAAATGTATAAAAATGATTATACATGTTGAAAAAATGATATTCTATTAAATGTATCCCTACCATTTTCGTATCCTAAATTTTTAATCATAAAGTTAGTTTCTCAACTTGATGGCTGTGTTTATTATTTAGTCCCAAAACTTAAAAATTTATATCCTTAAACTTTAAGCTGTGATTCTATGTTGTTAACGTTGTTGCCTAAGTGTTAACTAAGTGGTGACATAGTATACTAATAGGACAAAGGTTGACTGATTTGGTACGAAATGACAAATAGATAGAAGAAGGTAGCTAGAGACAAGATAAAGTGATACGTAAGGTACCCTCTAAAAGGGTTGTATCATTCTATTTTGCCATGTGATGTGATCATTTTCTTTTGCTCTTTATTTGCTAGTATCAAACTAGTTAACATTTTTCTAATATGTATGTTATATCATAATTTAGTTGATGGCGTTAACGGTAGGGACTACATAGAACCACAGTTTAAAGTTCAGCGACATAATTGAAATTCTTTTTAGTTAGGAATTAAATGACACAGCCATCAAAATTCTAGGATTAAATTTGTAATTTACCCAGCAATTTATTTACCTGTCCTTCCCTCAAATCCCTATTTTCTTGAATAGAAAAGTAGAATCATATATTCATATTGAGTCTTTCTCCCAAAGTTTATTTATTCGCTACATTTGCGAAATTTTTTTACAGGTGCTAAGAACGTCATCAGCTTATTTCCAAGTTCCACAGAACCAAACGAATCAAGTTGATTCTGTACCTACAGCAGAGTTTCATTCTGTTTCTAATTCGCTCTCAACATCGTCAAACCGACCTCGGATGCGTTGGACGCCAGAGCTTCATGAGGCATTTGTAGAATCTGTCAATAAACTTGGTGGCAGTGAAAGTATGTTACGTTCCTTAAATGTTCTTACTGTAGTTTAAAAACACCAGAAAGTCGCAAATGCTCTGATATGTTCTTACTGTAGTTAAAAACACATGAAAGTTGCAAATATTTCTCTTGTAATTGAGACTAAATTTTAATGGACAGATGCCACTCCTAAGGGTGTCCTAAAGCTCATGAATGTTGAAGGCCTTACTATTTATCATGTTAAAAGCCACCTACAGGTACTCTGCATATTTTTCATTCTTATACGGTTTCGCTTGACATTATTTCTAATATGTTGCTTTATTACCATCCAAATGTCAGAAATATAGGACCGCCAGATATAAACCAGAGTCATCAGAAGGTAGTGGTGACTGTTTCCCTTTTCCTTATTTGTTTGTTTTGCTACTTTCTTTATTGTTTTCGTTTTCTTGGTTGTACATAGAACCATTTTGACCATCATTCAAAATCAAGCTTTTTTGTTTTTTATTGAGAAATCAAACTTTCCATTGAGAAAAATGAAAAAATACAAATGTACAAGGACATATAAAAAAATAATAATAATAATAATAAAAAAAATAAAAAAAAAAAACTGCGAGGCCCTTCTGAAAAGGGGCTCCGATCTTTAAGGATAACACCTAACTGATATTACAAAATAACTTTGAGGTTCAGTCCCACATGAAAGAATTGGACCTAGCAATCTTCAAGATAAACTCCCTGGATCATTCAAAATCAAGCTTTAGCCTCACTGTCCATTTGCTCTCTTGGCAGTTTTTTCTGAAATTGATTTCATAACTTGTAAATATTCATGTGATGATGGATTATTACTTATGGAAGAATATAAACCACTTCTTTGATCCTCTCTTTTGAGGGTTTTTTATGATAAAGCAGTCTTATAGATGGTCGAATTTATTTTTATTGTGTGCAGGATCTTCAGGGAAAAAGTTAAATCCTATTGAGGAAATGAAAACGCTTGATTTAAAAACGTAAGCGATTGTTTCCCTTCTAATATTTTGTCCGTGTGGTTCTGTTTTTTTTTTTTCTATTTATTGTTGGTTTGTTTGGCTGTTGGGGGGGAGGGATTAAATTATTAATGATTTCACTCGCACTTCCTTGGATTCATTCTATCGTGTTGTGATGCATTTTATTGATACATGAAGTTTAATATAGGAACCTCTCTAATATAATCAGAACATTCCTCTCATCAATAGCCTATTGTTTTTTCTTTTAATTTTATGAGAGTTTTTTTTTTTTCATGCTCCCAACTCTGGACAAGTTTGAGGCCTCCGGCACCTTTTTTTTTTTTTAGACCTTTTGTTGCGCCCAGAGGACAATACTTGGAACATTTGAAGAAATTCATAAAAATATTTAGCAAAGAACTTTTAATAATGACTTTTAGCATATTATCCCTAACAATAAGTGTATAAGGTACATAAAAGTTTAGGCATTTACTAGCCCCAAGGGACAGCCCAATTGGCAAGGGCTTGGGGTCTCTTGATCATACCGACTCAGAAATCTCAAGTTTGAACCTTTCAATGAGCTTAATATTTAATATCAAAAACTCTTGATGTCTCCCAGATCTGAGCTTTGGAGCGGGTGCGGGTGCCCCCTTGGATGTAGGGGAGCAAAGCTCCAACTCCCAATTATTTCTAAAGAAAGTTCAAACATTTGTTATCGAGTATCAGCATGAAGCAAATAGAACTGTATTATTTATAAGAAAAAGTAGTCAAGGAGGCTGGTAAAACATGGTTGGCGGTTTTATACCCTGAATGTAGGAGAGAAAAACTAAAAATTATGGTTTTCCCATGCATCCAAGGTCTTATAGGGGAGTGGCCACGTAAATAATTTTCCCAGAAAGTGTGTCAATTATTTGAAGCAACTCATATTCTTTATGTTTCTCAATTTTCCGATCATTACCATGAAACTAGTTTCTGATAGTCATCTTCCTTATCTTGAGCTTTGATTCCATTTTAATATTTGATAATTTTTGGTTCTTTGAAAAATTGAAAAATAAAAATTAAGGCCCATTTGATGTTTTCAGTTTTGTATTTTTAAAAATTATGCTATCTTCCTAACAATTTCAAAAGAAAAGACTAGTTTCTAATTTTATTTTATTTTTTAGTTCTCAAATTTTTGCTTGGATTTTGGAAAAGTTTGTAAAAAGTAGGTGATAAAATAAAGAAATTCAGAGGTAGAAGTAGTGTTTGTAAATACAATTTTCGAAAACCAAAAGCAAAATGGAAACGGGACCTGAAATAGTGAACAAGTTTTTTTTTTTTTGTGGAATGGTCTCAGTGCTGAACCTTTTTGTTGTATATGTGGATCTAATTCAGGAGTATGGGGATAACTGAAGCATTGCGTTTGCAAATGGAAGTTCAGAAGCGGCTCCATGAACAACTTGAGGTCTGCATCTTCTTCCTTTATGTTTCCATCAATTAAAGGGGCAGTTAAACTAATTCATGGATTATGGAAGTATGCTTCTGGCTTGCACTAGCTTGATATGGCTGATAAATTTGGTGACGTTAACTCACGTCTTCGGCCTCGTTGAAAACTTTGTCGTGTATTTCTTATTTATGCTTCTAGCCCTCTGGTTTAATATAACAATTTTGTTTTTGGTTTTATGTGCTTATAGTATCTACTTATACCTATGTTTTCTTTGTTTAGTATACACTTTTTGAAAACTCTTCTAAAATCTTAGCCAAATTTTAAAAAACGAAAAAAGGTTTTCGAATATATATATATATATATCAGTTTTTATAATTTGGCTATCATTTCAGAAAATGACCTCAAAAGTAGGTTAGAAAACAAAGAAAAATGTTAGCAAATAGTTTATAGAATCAGAGAACTAAAAACAAAATCGTTAGTTTTTTGAACCATTGTTTTGGATTTAAAACCTTTGTTTTTGGGCAATTCAGACAAGTCTACTTGTTGATTGTAACCAATTTTCTTGCAAATATATTTGTTTGATAATCAACAACAGGATGGTGTTGTAAAGGGAGTTTTGATCCTCCAGTGTTGGAATTCAGTGATTGTATAGTTCTCTAGGGGAGGGTTCCCTCTACCCTCTGCCTCTAAGTTGTCTTTGCCTTGTATTGGGCTCTCTTTGATTTTGAATACAATCGGTTTGTTTCTTAAAAAAAAAAAAAAGACTGATTACGACAACCTTATTTGAACTAGATCTGTTCTATAGGTTGTAAAAAATTCTTGGACTTAGGACATCATTTGTTCCTCATTTAGTTACCAAGTCTCTTTCATCTTAATTATATCTCATATGTTGATTCGAGTCCAATCGAGTTTTCTAAAGATTCTAATTCCTTAAATTTATTCAGATTCAAAGAAACTTGCAGTTACGGATCGAAGAACAAGGTAAGTATCTTCAGGAGATGTTTGAGCAACAAAGAAAGATGGAAAACAAGCTGAAGACTTCCTCGTCGATCCTAGAGAATATGCCGCGTGCTGACGACCAACCTGAAAATTCAGAACAAGGTCGTGTCACAGCTGGTACGAGCATGGAGAATGCCGAGGGCACTCAAGAAGATGGTTCGCCTGCTACAAGTAGAAAGCAAAAGGCACATGAAAGCGAAGCTACGAAATCAAGTGAAAGCAACTCTTCCTCCCCCAACGCAAAACGAGCCAAATCATCAGATGCATCAGCTTTATAGTGGTCTGTCTCTGCCTCAGGGCTGAGATATTCAGCGATCGCGTTGTGTCGCTTGTGAAGCTCGGGACGATCTGGAACCAGGGAGAGTATGAGGGTATTCCAACCCTTGCAATGCAATTAAAAACAGTTGGTTTCTTTGTGAAGGAAGCCATTTGCCAATTGACTTGGGAGCTCTCTCAACTAATTGTGTATAAGAAGATTGGCTTTTAATGGACTTTGATCTCTTCCGTCTCCGTTTTATGCATAATCTAAATGGCATTGCTTCTTTCCCTTCTAGTTTCACGAGTCTCGATCTTAGTTCGGGTTTGATTGGCTATCGTATCGTATTGTTTGTACAATGTTACTATTTTTCTCATTTTTTGTAGAAGATTAATATTTGTACATTATAGTATGAAGAATATATCTTACTGAAGTGGGAAAATGGAAATGATACTTGTATAGTATATCAGTTTTCCCCATAAATAATGCATATATATACAACTAGATTGATAAACCTTTCCATTTGAAAGTCACATTCTAAAAATATTATCAAAATGATTAGTTTTAGTTATTTACTCATAAGTTTTTATTTTATGAAAAAAATTAATCTATACCCTTAAACTTGGTTCAGTCAATTAGACTTCTAAATTAATAATTTCATTAATTAAAATATTAAACTTAATCAGTTGAGTAAATTAAACTCTGAATTAATAATTTTATCATTTAAAATTTGAAACTACTTCAGTCGATTAAAACTATAAATAATTTTGTGAACTAAGTCTCTAAACTGTGTAGGTTGAGTGGATTAAAACAACAAGTGCTTAAAACAACATTTTTATGTTTGGTGTGTTTTCAAATTTGAATTTGAAACTTTAAAATTCAGAATTATATTAAAAAATAAAAATAAAAACTTTGATAAATATATTATTTCATATTATAAATTCATCTTATCTCTGTTAAAATTAACACATTTAAAATATAATATATTATAGATTATATAACATTGTAAAATAATTATTATACAAAACTTACAACAAAAATACTAATAAATTAATTGAAATTATTTTAAATTAAACTAAATATTTAGTTAATATTATTAGTTTACAAATATATTTCTGAAACAATTTTTTAAATTGAAATTCTATTTTTAATTCTGCTACCAAACACATGTCTCGAAACACTAAAGATAAAGAATGCAACTCTAGTTTTCATTGAATACATTGTTTTCAAATCTATATTTTCTGATCGCCAACTAAACAAGCCTTAAACTAATAATTATCAATTAAAACATTAAGTTTGTCTCAGATTATAGGCTTTGTTAGAAAATTTGGTTAAATAGGTTGAGTGAAATGCATGTTGTTTTAGCTTTTTCATCTGTTTAAATTAATATATAAAATAATGGGTCTCGCTTTCCATCGACATGACAATAAAGATCTTCTAGAGAGATTATTCTTGCGCAGGATGTATGTGTTGAGCATTGCAATTTGCATCTCTTCATCTTGGCATTTTTAAATTTTTTAGTAATATAATAAGTGACTTTTTGTTCTCACCACAATAGTGTTTGTTCTAAAACATTTATGTACTAATTGTTGATTAATTAACACCTATGTCCTGCCAAGAAATTGTGAAATTATACTTAAAAAAACAAAAAAGAAAACCAAAATTACATTAAAACTTAATATTAAAGCAGTTCACAAATTATATTTGTTTCTTAAAGTTCATTACCAATTTAAAAAAAGCATCTTTTTATCAAAATGAAAAATAAGAAAGGGTATCCTAATAAGAGGCCAAAGTTAAAAATATTAGAAGGGTTTTACCATATTTTTTAATATTAATTTATCTTTATTAGATCGGAAAAATGAGTAAAGTTCTCTTATTTATTAAATATGGTTTAAAGAAACTTAAAGGTTTTTGGCCTGAATAACACTTTTATTGGAGTAGTATTATTTTTTACCAACTTTTTTCAAAAACTATGTTTCCTAATCTTTGCTGACATCACCCTCGTACCAAATTCCTTACAACTTCTCCAAACTTACCTTCATACAGAGGCATAGGATATGGAAATGTAGAGAGAGTTGAATGGTAAAGATCTGGACGACAAAATACTATCTAAGGGTTTGGTTTTAAAAAAAGAAATTAAATACTCCGACAAAGCCGCCGATAGCCCATTAAAAGGAAAACGTAGCTGGTTATTGGATAGCACTCTTGCTTTCGATCCGGTTGCCCATTAAAATGGAAAACAGAGCTGGTTATTGGATAGCACTCTTGCTTTCAGTTAGATCTCGCTCTCACTCTCGATGGTTGGATCTCGCTCTCAACGGTTGAATCTCACTCGTCGCTCGGAACAAGATTGGAAAGGATAAAAAGTTAACAGTCTAACGGCAGCGATCAAAGCGAGTGAGAGAGGCAGGGAGCAAGAGGGAATGAGAGAGGAGATGCACTATAGAGAGGGAGGAGATCGGAGGAAACCAATAAAATCCTATTTTTAGGGAGAGAAAGTGTGTCTATGAAATTAATTGAATTTTTGTTAATTCTAAATATAACCAAGCTCGATATCATAAAATCAAATCACAAACAATATGTTATTTGTATAAGATTTTTTTCGTTTTGCATCTTATCTCGTTTTAAATGATAAGGTATTTCTCATTTTGAGATAGAAATTTATGATTTTGATAATTTTTTTAAGGTTTTAAAATGAGTCTTCTTCAAAGATGTTTATAGAGAAAACCCAATTTTGTTGTTTTTGAGAAAAAATCGAATGAGAATGAGAGAGAAGAAAAGAAAAATTAGGAGAGAGAGAATGATGATTTTTTTGAAGATAGGGAAGAAAGAGGGAACAAGAGAGAGATCTAAAAATGGGTGGAGGGATAGTGAAAATAATTTGACATCCAGTAAAGATTAGAAAACATAGGTTTTGAAAAAAGTTACTGCCTTGCAAGACTATTCAGCCCAAAAACCCGAACTTAAAAAGTGACCCTAAAAAATGTAAGTTGGAACCCAACCTCTCCTCTCTCATAAAGAGGCAAAAGTTGTGTTCTAAAGACAATTGTCATCTCGCAACTCTTGCTCCGCCTTGCTAACCACATAGTTAAATCCTCATTTACACCTTTCTCACAAACAAAACAAATAATAACTCTTACCATCGCACCACAAACATCGAACACATAAATTAAGTTTTAAACTGCAATTAACTTTTCATTAAGAAATTGAAAAGTTTTGAGCTTCCAACGAAAATTACAAATCGGGATACAGATCTAAAAAACAATCCCAACTATGAATAATATTTGAAGAATAACCCCCAAACTGTGTCTTAAAGGGTAAAGCACCTCTACCTGATCCTCATTATCATGAACACATCCCTTTCCAATCATATATTCTGAAAAAAAGGAAAAAAGATTTTACAGCATTAGCCCAAAGCCTTCTTTCTTTCACTTTGAAGAAAATACCATCAAACTATTATTTCGTAATTTTTCTAACTGAATTAATGAGAGATGCATTACAGCACAAATAAATAAATTCTCTTACAAGAATCACCCTAGTGATCACTGAAAAAAAAAACAACAAACAAACAAAAAAGCACAAAAGTGATTTTTGAGCCACAGATTCAAATTCCATGATGCCACCTCCTTGGGAAGGTAATTAATAAAATACTATCAGTTACTTGCCAACCAAACGTTGCCAAGTCTATCACTTGTCTATGGGACTACTTTAGGTGCACATAAACTGGTTGAACAATCATGGATAACAAAAGAAGACAGAAAAAACTCAGATGCATGCAAGCTTATTTGGAACCTTGACCAGTAGAGTTGTAGATGGTTCAGTAGTTAGTTTTGACCCTAAGTTGTGCCCCTATTTGGTAGGCTAAAGCAAAGTACTTAAATGGGTTCAAATCTTGAGTGGCCCCTACCTTTATCCTGGGGTTTCTTGACAACTTGATATTGTAGGGTTCTATAGAAAGCAGTCGAATCTATGGTCAATCAATAGGTCCGTGGTAGCGTAGCAAGACTAACAAGTAGACAACTGAATTTATGAACGAGCAACTATTTATTAATTGCTTACAAGGCTAAGGATCGTCCGTGTAAGAATTAGGAATTCCTCTTTTGGCTCGTCTCAGAATGGGCGTTATGGCAAACTTAATCCCGTCCGTTCCATTACTTCTAGTGCGTGTCATACTTCTTTTTTGGGGCTTTCTTGGTTGGGAAGTGTCTCTGTCTTAAGCTTGTCCGAATACTCATGGTATCGAGGAAAAAAAAGGATAGAGAGGGGAATGTAGTAATTTTTGGAAGGATGCCCAATTAGAATAAACATCAAAGTGTACATTTATGAGAGAGGGAGAGAGAGAAGATGAAAGGGAGAAAGAAATGGAGGCAACACTCTTAATCAAGAAAAGTTGGCAAAACATTGCAAGTTTTCAGCATACGCTGCACATTGACTTGAAGGAAAAAATAATATGCTCAGATGCATATAACAGCATTTGTGCCTTCGTATTCCTTAAGAAACTCAATCAGAATTCAGCAATGTAATGTAATTATTCTTCCATAGCTTCACTCACCTGAGGTCCCATATTTCCACCTTTGGCAGCTGTGTGCTTCCGATGCTTCTTGCTCTTGACTTTCTTTGCCTTCATTCGTCGTTTTTTCTCATTGGCATCAACCCATGTATAGTCTGGTGGTATGTGGAACGGATCAAATTCATCCTTGTGTAGACTGTCGCTGTCGCTCGACTGCCCACCACGACTTCCTCTCATCCACGAAGCCCATGATGAAGAGCCTTCTGATTCCTTAACTTTGAAATCCTGGAAATGGTCTGGACTGGAAGGAGGAGTTGCAAACTCCTCCACGGGCTGAAGCTCTTCAAACTTTGTGAAAGTAACAAGGACCCTAATTGTTGGGACGATAGGTATGGCAACCTGTATTTCAAAAATAATTGTATCATTTTATGAATTTATGCGTTGGATCAAGTAAATATTTCATATATTTAGTTGTTTTTAACTGTCTCATCTACTAAACTCCGACACGCCTCCAAATCAAGTTAGCAGACTTCTGTAGGCTCCTCTTTACCTCTCCTCTTAGCAAATTAAAGATAACAGACATAAAAAAATCGCAAGTCCCAAAAATTGCAAATGTTTTCATTAGGTTCACATTTCTCTATCACTGACATAGAAATCCAGTAAAAATCAACATATCCACAAAAGGAAAGGGGAAAAAAAAGGGTGCGAAAGAGGAACAGGGTCAACGAGTATTGTTGAGGTGAAGCAGGGACCTGTTGGAGGTAATGGAAGGAGGTTTGCCAGATTGGGATAATGAGGGAGGGATGTACTAGAGAGGGAGGCTAAAGGATCAGTCTTATGTGCTCGTGATAAAGAGTGCTCAGTTATAGCATGCAGAAGAATGCAGTTCAGCGAACGGTGAGATAAGGTTGACCAGAGTGGGGAGATTAGAAATCTCCCACACAGCAATTCTATTATATTATGGATCCGGACAGCATGTGATAGAGCTGATTTTGATCACAGTAGGTGGACAAAACAGACCTTTTACTTCATTAGCATATTTCTCAATCAATAACATGAAAGCTTATTGCTCGTCTTATTTTGGAATGCTTTGCATCCGTAGGGGCGGCTCATCTATAGAATCGAATCAAATTGACAAGTGGCTTCAGGAGTAGCCACGTGGTAAAAGTAAATTTACAACTAAACATCACATTTACAAATTTTTTTTAACCAGAATTTTTCGTTAATAAATGAAAAGGAAAATTGCACATGATAGGAGCGATAGGAAAAGAAAAAATCAAGACGGTTAAGCACAATAAGAATGAACATTAAAAAGGCCATCTAGATTGCAAGTGGTAACAGTAATAACAAAATTTAATAAATTTACATTTTTGAAGATTCTATACCAAACATCTTCAAAATCCTCATGCTGTTCCTCAAAAAAAATATTTTATTCCTTTTCAACCATATTCAAGGAGTGTATCTTCCATAGATTCTTTTTATTGGGTCTCGGAGAAGGCATCAGCCTCTTATGTCATTAGTAGCTCTTCCTTTTTTTATTAATTTTGCTGGCTGTCCGAGTCCATCTTCAAGGAATTAATGGCAGCAGGTTTTTTAAGTTTGTTCAAGTGCCATGCATTATTGATCTGACTTTAATTAGGCCTATTATCTTTTTTCAAGGCTGGAGCCAGAATACGTGGAGTCTACTTTGATAGTGGGAAGAGGTCTTTTTGTGAAGAATTTCCTTCAAAATCGAGGCCCTGAGAGATTCAAAAAGTAAATTTTGGCCGCCTTTTATTCTCTCCATTCTTATTGAAGGAGGAGTCCCTCCGTTTCTTTATGATCCCGTGGCGGTCCTTGTTCTTCTTATTCTTTTCTTTGGTTGCAATGCTCTTTGTTGAGATTCTCTTTTGTTTGTATCGTTTCTTTTTTCTCCTCTTTTTTTCACTCCTTTGGAAGTGACCATGCTTTGTTTTTTTGTTTTTTTTTTCTTTTTTCCAACCATCAAAACACCCCCCTCTGTAACAATTTCACGAAAATTAGAACAACAGAAAATACAAAAAGAAACATCGCCCGAGGGGTAAATATATTTATTAAAAAAACACTACAATTGATCAAGATATCAGAATTAGCCAATGAAACATCTTTCAAGAAGAGAAACATAGATATAAATGCCACCAATGTAAAAGTGAACTCAAACAGAAAGAAGCATAAGAAAAAAATAGCATCAGGGAAATTAGATATGTTTCTACTTTATAGGATTACCTTCACAGGAAAGGTGCCAAGAGGCAACTTGGTAGTCAGAAGTTCCCTTAATCTTCTAATAGCCTTCACCTTGTTAGCAAGAATGTCAAGCAAAGGCAAGAGTTCATCAGTTTTCAAAGGGAAATCTTGTGTCAACCACAAGACTGGTCTCAAACTTTTCTTGTATTCACTCTCATTTTTAGACTCGCTACTGGCTCCTTTCTTCTTTTTTTTCTTACCACTCTTATCTTTTCCCTTCCTGGTATTGTCCCCCATATCTTGAAAAGAAATATCAGAAGAATTTGGAGGCTCAACTACTTTATGATTGGGATTGCTACCTTCTGGGGCCAACTTTGAAAATTTCTTTAGGTTCTTTGAATCGTCCAGCTCTTCATTACTACCCCTTGCACTTTTCTTGTTCCAACCAAACCAACTCTTCTTCTCCTTAACAATACCATTGGATTCAAAATTATCACAGGAACTTATTGACACAGTTTCCTGATTATCAATAGCACCTTGTTCTTCGTACTCAAGATGGCCATCCGAGTTCCCCATACCAAGTGCTGAATCCAATTGCTTTCTCTCCTCAACTGTTAGTACATCATCATATTCGTCATTTTCACCAGTATGCACTAATCTATCTTCGTCATCTGCAGCAAATAGCTCTTCATCAGTCATAGCACCAGGAACCCGCCTTGATTTCACACTCACCATTACATGAAGCATGTCATATATTTTTGCTTTCCAATTTCCAACCACCTCAGTCCTTTCTTGCCGTCGCCAATTTAAATGAGGAACCAACTCAGCCTGGGTTACATCAATGCCTGGTCTATACATATTTGTCCTTGACATTAAATCAACTTCATGAGCAACTTCAGCATCAGTTGGTTGTCCACCAGCACCTTCCAGAGCATTTGTAATTTCCTTCTCTTTGTGCGTAAGAACAATCAAAGAACCAGGTGGTAAAGTAACGACTTTATCATCCGATGAGTAGCCCTCTCCAAGAAATAGAAACGTCTGGTCGGAACGTTGAATTCGAAAACCATCAAAACCAGCAAGGGTCATATCTGCACGGAGATTGGAACCACGTTTCCAAATCCGGTATGTATCTGATGGAGCAATACGCCCAATAAATGGAATTACAGAGCTCTCGAAATGAAAAGTCATTTCCATATAAAAATCACGTATGCGAGCTGCCGTGGCAACAATGCGAGGAAGCCTACGACACCATTTTGCCCAAGCCAGAGGCTGATAGTGCCGCGCAATAATCATAGCTATTGAATCCTCTCTATTGCAAACTGCCTCTTGAAGAGCACTCCAACCATGCTCATTCTGAAGACTCCAATCCGCTCCAGCTGCCATCAAAATCTCAGCAGAAATTCGGTCACAAAGACGTACAGCAAGATGGAGAGGGGTCTCACGTCCTGGGACATCACGCCGGTCAATAACAGCAGATACAGCATCAGCTTGCAGCTCTGCTGCAATAGATTCCGCTTCGGTGTTGACCTCACCCGCCTTGGCCAGCCGTGGTAGCGTGGAGATAATGAATCTAAGAGCAACATAGTCTCGACGTGCAACTGCTAAATGAGCAGGACTATGGGCATATTTAGTAAATTCCTCCATTTGTTCCCTTCTCAAGGTTACTATCTATCTTTTATGCTAAAATCCTTTCAATAAGGACAACTTCATCTATCCATATTTTCCATCCGACAAGTTGACCCAGTTAACTAAACAGGGGATGTCATTCATGGGCATTCTTCCAACTTCGTCCAAGACAACCTAAATTTCCTCGATTTCAAGAGCTCAAGTTCTGAAGTGACAAAAACTTAAACGACCTCATGTGGAGCTCCATTACAGCAGGGTGAAGCAGAACAGTCGAGTAAAATCTGTAAGGAACAACAAATATTGAAGGGCGAAACGAGTTGCTGAAATTCAAAACCATTGTCATAACCCAAAACCCCCATTGGCAAAATTTGGCAAGAAAATCAGGAGTTTCGCTCGGACAACAACATCGACAGGGACAGGGACAGGGAGGGTTAATTTTCACCAAAATGGAATTTGCCCATTTTTCCATACCTTGTACCGAATCAAAAGGAGGAACTAAAAGGAACCCGAATTCCACTTTGGCCAAATAGAAAAAGGGGGAAAAATCAAGGACCCAACAAAGAAGAAAGCAAATTAAGTACCTGGGAACACGAACAAGGCCGTGGAGCTGAATGTTGGGTGTTTCAAGTCTTGGGGTTTCCAAGACTTGAGAAAGATGGGAGAAATTGATGCTGATGAAGAGAATATCGGGGCGATGGAATCATAGAGCTAGGATCGTGGCGCCATTAACAAGTGGAAGGGAAGATCACGAAACTAGATGAGCTTCGGGAATTGGCATTCACCATGAGAATTGAGAGTTTTGATGATCTTCTTTCTTCTTTCTTTCGTTCTTTGTTCTTCAATTCGCCATCATCGTAAACGAGCCTTATTTCACCGATTGTTAGGTCCAATTAGCGGTGGCCGGACTCATGACTTTGCCTCTTCTTTCATTATTTTATTTTGTTGTTATTATTATTATTATTATTATTATTTCTCAACGAAAATGCTTCACAGCTTATGGTAGGTTTGGAAACATAAATTTCAAGACTACAATTGAATGAAAAACAGAGTTGCGTATTTCCCAACAACTGATATTTAGTTCCATCTTAAATAATATTGATTGATTGATTAGTGTATATATTATAAATTTTCTAAATTTGTTATTTTATAATATTATATGATTTAGAATATTTTACGTTTTATATCCTTTATTTTAATAAAAATAATATGAGTTTATAACATCGAAATAATGTATTTATCAAAAAGATTATTTTTTTAATGTAATTTTGTATTTTAAAGTTTTAAATTCAAAATCTTTAAGAAACGTTGTTTCGAGAATTTTCAATTTGAATAAGAGATATTCATTGAATCTACTCGATCTATTAAACCTGAAATTTGAGAATAACGTAACAAACACCGTACCAATAACAACTTTGAGTATTTTCTTCTCTCAGCTATAATTTTATATTGAGATTTTTCAATTCATGATTTTTTTTATTTGAATTTGTACTGCCTTGATTTTCGAAGTTTAAATTTAAATATTATTTTTGTTTTTATCTTCGTGAAATGTCAATTTTAGTCTTTGTATTTTCAATTTGATTGATCTATATAATATTTATTTTAATTCTTGCACTTAAAAAGAAAAGTAGCTGTATAATACAAAATTAATACCCAACAAAAAAAAGTAATACAAAGCTAGGGCTTAAGAAGTTTTTCTTAATTATTATTATTTGACTAAATTATGATTTAAAAATGAGATTAAAAAAATAAAACAAATAGATTAAAATTATCATTTTAAAAGGCATTTTAGAAGTACGGTAAAAAAAAAGATAAAATTAAAATTACATGGACTAAAATAAACGAAAGATGAAAGTATAGAAACTAGATTTTATCTAAATTAATATAATATGAGAGTTTTGTTTTAAAATTATGTAGTTATTTTTAAAAGCAAAAAAGAATAATAATAATAAATTGGTTTTGGAAAACATAATATTTTTGCTTTTTTTTTTTTTTTGAAAGAATAGAGTTGTTTTAAATGGTTATGTCATGGTGGCAACCCATAGACAACTCTATTCTAAAAAATTATATTTTAGTCCTCTAATTTAAAAATACATTTGTCTCGATTTTTTTTATTTTTTATTTAAAAGATATATGGTCTCGATTGATTTATTGATGGACACACCTATAAAAGTGCAATTGAAAAATTATAAAGAAAGTTATATATTTGGGTATATAAGAATGTTGATTTTTATGGAGATAGTTCCATAAAAAAAATTATTATCTTTTATTTTAAAATAAATAAATATATATACCTTTCTTCGCCTTCAGCCTTAATTAAGGGTGCCCATTTTTCTTATGAGTTTTCATCTAACACACTGAGACCGATGCAAGACCTTTCTCTGTGGAAAAAAAAATCCATTATATGATTTTTTCCAAGTAGGAATATTTATCTGAGAATAAGGAAGAGTGGAAACAAAAAAAGACTGTGATAAAAATATGTATTGATATTTTATAGTGGAACCAATGATGGTATGTCTCTCTCTTTATCTTCTTAATTACGAGATTATTTTTCCTAATTGCATATCTTATGCCCTAGACTTGAAATAATCCAAGAATCAAATCTTTCCTAACATGAAATTCTAAGGAATTAGCCTATTAACCAAGTATCACAAGACACATATCAAGGTACAATTCATTGAGCCAACTCACCCATGAGATGAACCTCTTCGGCTAAGTGGCCTAGAGGCTACGGTCGAGCTAAAGACCCATAGACCTAGGCCAAACAGGAGGTCATTGACTGAGCTTCAAGCTCATGGGTTGAGTCGAAAACTCTAAACTTTGGGCCAAACTTAGTCAATGAGCTAAGCTCTCGGGGACCCAACAACCCATGAACTAGCATTGTTTCTACATTTCCAAATCCTAAGATTTAGTTTTCGAAAATAATCTTAGTTTTTTTTCTAGTACAACGTGTGTAGGTGGGGAGTCAAACTCTCAATCTTTTGATTGGAGATAAATGTTAATTATCACTTAGCTATGCTCGCTTTGACAATTAATCTTAGTTTAAAATGAACTAAAGATAAATAACCAATATGAAGATAGTTAAGTATATATTTTCCACGAATCCATGCTATTACCTACTGTATGCTAAAAAGACTAAAATGTATTAATAAAACAGAAAAAATAATTCAATGGAAACTTTTTAAACTATAGGCTTTTTTTTCTTTAATTTGTTTTGGGGAAAAGACACATATGGATATATAGATGAGGTGTGCAGCAGAGAACAAATCACAGGATTCCTTATCTTTGGCATTTGCTCTAAAATCCACTTGTGTGTGCTTTTTACATTTTCCAAGCAGCTCCCAATCCCCATCTCCCGCCTTGTCTCCGCCATTTTTCTTCCCACTTTAAGAAACTAATCAGAAATCACTTCCATGAACACAGAATGGCATAGCAAATGCCATCAACGAGCATGTTTTCCCCTGAATTTCTACCTCACACCCTCCCCTTCACCAACCCATCCAAGCCCACCTACCAAACGCATTCCAATTCCCTCCTCAGTTGCAGAATCCCCAGAATCTGTCTCAGAAATGGCGCATCTGCTGGAACCAGACAGCCCCATCTCCCCATTTTCGACAACAGAGAGACCCATTTGATGAAACTTCTCAACAGATCCTGCAGGGCTGGGAAACACAACGAGTCGCTCTACTTTCTTGAAAGCGTGGTCAGTAAAGGCTTCAAGCCCGATGTTGTGCTCTGTACCAAGCTCATCAAAGGGTTCTTCAATTCGAGGAATTTGAAGAAAGCTGTTCGGGTCATGGAGATTTTGGAAAGGTATGGGGACCCAGATGTTTATTCTTACAATGCTATGATTAGTGGGTTTAGTAAAGCCAACCAAATTGAGTCTGCAAACGAGGTGTTTGATAGAATGCGCAGCAGAGGATTTTCCCCTGATGTTGTTACTTATAATATAATGATTGGGAGTTTGTGTAGTAGAGGGAAGCTTGAGCTTGGTTTTGAAGTCATGGATGAGCTTCTGAAAGATGGGTGTAAGCCATCTGTTATTACTTACACAATTCTTATCGATGCCACCATTCTTGAAGGTCGGATCGATGACACTCTTGAGCTGTTCGACGAAATGCTCTCGAGGGGCCTTCGTCCCGACATGTATACATACAATGCCATCATTAGGGGAATCTGCAAGGAAGGGATGGAGGATCGAGCCGTGGCGTTCATCCGTGATTTGGCTGCAAGAGGGTGCAATCCAGATGTAATTTCGTACAACATTCTGCTGCGTTCTTTTCTAAACAAAAGAAGGTGGGAAGAGGGAGAGAAGCTCATGAAAGACATGGTTTTAAGTGGATGTGAACCAAATGTGGTTACTCACAGCATTTTGATCAGTTCACTATGTCGGGAAGGGAAAGTCGGGGAGGCGGTGAATGTGTTGAAGGTGATGAAGGAGAAGGGGTTAACCCCAGATGCATATAGCTATGATCCTCTGATTTCTGCCTTCTGCAAAGAAGGGAGATTGGATTTAGCCATAGAGTTTTTGCACAAAATGTTCTCTGATGGCTGTTTGCCTGATATTGTAAACTACAATACAATTTTGGCTACTCTGTGTAAATTTGGAAGTGCTGATAAGGCTTTAGACATCTTTGAGAAGCTAGAGGAAGTGGGTTGCCCTCCAAATGTCAGCTCCTACAACACCATGTTCAGTGCACTTTGGAGCTGTGGGAACAAGATCAAAGCTCTAGAAATGATATCAGAAATGATAAGCAAAGGGATCGACCCCGACGAGATAACATACAATTCGCTGATTTCGTGCTTGTGTCGGGACGGATTGGTCGATGAGGCTGTTGGGTTGTTGGTAGACATGGAATCCACCAGCTTCAAGCCAACAGTGATAAGCTTCAACATTGTCCTTCTGGGAATGTGCAAAGCACATAGGATTCTTGAAGGCATTGAATTGCTGATAACAATGGTCGAGAAGGGTCGCCTACCGAACGAAACTAGCTATGTCTTGTTGATCGAGGGGATCGCTTATGCCGGGTGGCGAGCGGAGGCAATGGAGCTGGCCAACTGTTTGTACAGATTGGGAGTTATTTGTGAGGACTCTTCGAAGCGTTTGAACAAGACATTTCCAATGCTTGGCGTTTATAAAGGGCTAAGCTTATCAGGAATCAAAAACTAGCTCTTGCCAAGTTGTTTTTTACTACAAAAATTTCGAGTTGTGGCCATTTTTGTGAAACAATTTGAAAGAAAAATGATTCTGATTGTTTTCCTGTTGAGCTCAGTGAGTAAAAAGCATTAATTGGACATAGCTTTATATAGAGTAGGGGAGGTGGAGCATAAATTTCGACAATTTAGAAGATTAAGAACATCAGACGCATTGTTGGATTATTCCATAGCTAATGAAGCCATAATATATAGTTTCAGAAAGTTCAATTAATTTTACAAATCACATCTTAGGCATGTGATTAATAAATTGGTTCAAAATGTTAAAATTTTGGGACAATTGTAAAAGTAGCAAAAAAAAAAAAACTAATAACTATTTGCAATACTAGCAACGACATTTTAGTTTTGCAAAAACAGCGAAATTCAGAAGTTCCACCCATGCATGGTATAGAAAGGGAGTGATTGCAAATAAATAAATAAATAAAAATATCCCACCCATGCATGATATAGAAAAGGAGCCATTGAAAAATAATAATAATAAATAAATAAATAAACAAATAAAAATACAAAATACAAAATTAGCAACGATATTCTAATTTTGCAAAATAACAAATTTTGGAAGTCGAACCCATGCACAATTAGAAAAAAAGTATAATTTATCATTAGCTCAATGTGCTAAATTCCTTATTTCTGTTTATTTCATCGTACATAAACAGTATTCTCATGTACCATTGATTTACCTTTTTCAATTATTGATATACCTCTGATATGGGTGTACTCATATACCACTAATGAACTGTATTTTGATATACCGTTGATTTACTTTATTCAATTATTGATATACTTTATTGATATTCCTATGATATATATGTTGATATATGTTACTCATATACCATTTATAACCGATATACATTGATGCAGTCTATAGATATACCTTCATTTACTACCTAATACATATATTAGTTAACTGATATATCCAATATGAAATATATCATTGATACATTCGAATAATGTTATTGATATACCTTTATTTACTCGATACTAGGTACATCAAATATAACTTATTTATTATATATACATGATAAATCAATTCCTTACCCATGATATACCAGTAAAAGTAACAGTAATAAGTGTAGCAATTCTATCATTGATATAAGAAGTCTCTGATATACATTGTCATTGATATACCTAATTAAAACTCAAATAACTGCCAATACAAATGATATGCATAAATGGTGCAAATTTACAACTTCTATGATTATGATAAATGACGACTGTATTTTGTATGCTTTCTCATCTGACCAATTGAAGGTATCCTTTATTTTTTAGGCCTTCCTGCTTGAAGTTTAATGATTGGAGGTAATAAATTAACATAAATCTCTATAGAACTCCAATTAGAATTTTTACCAACAGGACGAATTAAACCATTATCAGTGGTAATGTGCGCTGCAGTTAAGAGCGTCATTTCGAATTCCGAACTGGACACATGTCGCCATCCCAAGGAGCTCAACGGTGCGTTTCCGAACTATAAACCGAGCGGTCGAATAATACTTTAAGTCTCATGCGAAGATCGCCTAACCGCACCACCGAGCACTAAGCAAATTCTGCGCCTAGGATTTTGTGGCATGATTATGTGCACAATCTCCGGACGATTATCACTATGTTCACCGCGAACAATTCATACCATGCATGATCTCTAGGGCACACTACAATCTTTGGAGGGGATATTCAGACATCTAATGACCAGTCGTGAGCTACCTATAAATATTTTAGGTGAACAAGCTTATAGGTTACATGTGAATCTCGACTTGAAATTGAGATTAAACCAGTTCAAACCTCTACTAATTTGAGCGTCAGAGTGCTCACCATTCTTTTGCAGCTCTTTTCTTCATTGAGATTCACAAGACGTTTGGGTGCAATTTCATGCTAAATACGACTTAGGGAGACGTTCGGGTGCAATTTCATGCTAAATACTTAGGGAGCTAGAAAATGAGAGACATAGAAGTAAAGGAAAATGTAGCTTGAGTTGTTGGTGAAAAATGGTCGAAGAAAATGACTATTTATATAGATACAAAATGAAAAAGTTACAAAGCTTTTTTTGAATTCTACAACTTTTTAAATTATTTTATTTATTATTTCTAGTGAAAATTTTAAAGTTTTCATATATTAAATAACATTGTTATGATTGGTAAATATTATTTACTTAATATTGATAATTACAATTCACAATTTTTTTTTAAAAAATTTACTATTTATAATTAATTCTCCGTGACATGTTTGGTAGATGTGATTTATAAATTAAAGAAATAAGTATAATAGTTTAAAAATATTTTTTCAAGTTCTATTTTTTTTTAAATATAGATATAGATAATATAGTATATAAATTATTTTAATTTGTTTTATTTCAATTTAAAAAGTTAATAAAAAATTGATTATATTATTGTTAAACAAAATTTGTACTCAACTTTTTATGTATTTCCAGAAACAACATATATACTTTTGATCAAAATTAGTATAATTGTTTGAATTATAAATTAAAAGACTGTTTATTATAGTTGAGAGTAAAACTGAGTAGAACACATGTCCACATTTGCCAAGCATGGGACTACAGGCGGTTACACACCATACACTGCAATGGTAGGAGAGTGCACCTCCACTCCCATAGTATGGGGAGCACGCCGAATCCTACGACCTGACAGCTGAAGGCAACAGGCTCCAGGCTTGTAGGTGGAGGCGTCAACCACTAATTGTCGAGAGCATACACTCCCGTCAGGCGCCGTACAACTTGGTGCGTCCCTGCCATCCTAACCGTCGTCCTTTCTGGTCTGCCATTTGAGCCTATAAAAGGGAAGAACCTGCACCTTCACGAGGTAAGTGAAAAACTGGTCACTAACACTAAATGTGTCTTTTCCTATTTCCTATTTCGACTTCTAACTTGAGCGTCGAAGTATAATAGGCAAGACACCGCACCGACGTCAAGTTTTTTGGTTTCAGACTCATTTGTTCCTTGGTAAAGCCACTCGTCTGAGAGACACGTGGAGCTCTCCAAAATTTGTTGTCAACAGTTGGCACCATCTGTGGGAACGACGATTTCAAGCTAAATGAAAACTAGTTCTCCGCACTAAGATACTACTGGGACAAAGAATCGTCCTACGAACAGTCCATCGATGATGAGTGTCAGCGCGACAAATCGGTTGACAAATCCTCTTCGACTCCTCCCACCCCTCAAAAGGTCAGGGGAGTACGGGACGCTGTCAACCCCCTTCGCCCCATTGGCCACCACGGCAAACGAAAGGTGGGACATCACTACAAAAGCTCTGGGTTTCGAAATGAGATGCGGGTAGCCAATGCCCACATGTCTGACCAAATCAGAAGACTTGTCGACGTCATGCTAACTGACCTGACCCGTGGAGCTCCGTACCCTCCAAATGGAAGCGTGAACGAAGGATAAATAGCCGAGGGAGAACTCTTAGCCCCACCGAGAGAGGGACTTGCTGATGAGGACCCCCTTGCGGTGCCTGGGCTCCCTGAAGATTCAAAGGATCTTCGAGACAAGATTAACAAAAGTCGGGCTCAACATGAAGCGACCAGCTCAAACATGGAATCTCATACTAGCACCGAGACATCCAGTCACCCAAGCTTGTCCCATGTCGGGATCGACACGAAAGAGTTGGACGTATGAAGGAAGAAATCTTTAACCGAGTAAAGACTGAACTCGGAACTGGGGGTCGGGAACCTACCATTAAATATGAACTTTTGAAGATCACTCAAGAATCATTCGTGGCCAGCGTCCTGGCCGTGGAGCTCCCAAAAGGACTCAAAGGCCCGCAGATTGATAAATATGACTGATCTACTGACCCCATGGATCATGCCACCTCCTACCATAATGCAATTAGGCAGGCGGGGTACAACAATGTTTGAACAGGGTCGGGACTTCTCCGGAACGCTCGTTGGCCCAGCTTGGCAATGGTTCCAGAACCTCCATCAGTATTCCATCGCAAGTTACCAGGATCTCGCTCGCAAATTCGTCAACCAGTTTCATTACTTCTACATTAATCGATGGACAAAGACGCATCTCATGTCCGTAAGGCAGAAAGCCAACGAAGACTTAAAGTCGTACGTGGCTCGCTTACGATTGCGGGTGCCTAACTGCAATGAAAGTATGGCCATGTGGTCACTCTCCACGGAATCAAAGATAGGAGGCCTGTTCCCTCACTAGGAGAGTTCCCAACTGAGACCATGACCAATCTTATGGCCTGGATCCAGCAACATATAGCTGAAGAGGAGTTGCGGAAGTTCAGCTAACGTCCTCACACTAGGGGTGCTGGAAACCCTCAGGTGGGGACTCTACCATGCTGAGAGGTGCCCCTTTCTACTGGTCGGTTTTTCAGGTGAGAAAGTCTACCTCGAGGGTAGTATTGAACTACCGCTAAGCCTGGGGGAGGGCAAGAAAGCCGTTACAATGGTTAAAGAGTTCGTTGTGGTGGACGATCCCTGAGCGTACAATGCCATCCTATGGAGGCCAACTATACACAACTTCCAAGTCGTCCCTTCTACCTACCACAAGATGATGAAGTTTCCCACCCCTAAGGGGATCGGATCCGTGGTCGGATAGCAACGAGTCTCATGAGAATGCTATGCTACTACTATGAACGAACCAAAATTAGTGTGCACTATTAGGGCCAACCCCGACAAGTTGCGGTTAGATGCCCCGAGCGAAATCGCAAGCTCCGACTAGCTCACCAAATGACCGACTGACCCGCAAAGAGCCGGTACGATAGAGCCAGCCTCCACGATGAATCCAGACACTCGTACGATAAAGGAGACACCGGAGGCAAACACAGATGAATGGGAAAAGAGCATCCCGTCGGCTGAGGAGCTAGAGTGTCCCTATCTTGGGATCCGAGAAGTCCACCAACGTAGGGGATAGACTGTCGGGTGACAAAAAGGAACGTTTAACCAAGTTTCTCCACAAGAATGCCGACATCTTCGCCTGGTCTCATGAGAACATGTCTGAGATTGATCGTTCCGTCGTCGTCCACTGGCTGAATGTCAACCTTGAAGCTAAACCGGTCAGACCAAAGAAAATGATTGTGGACGCCGCACGAAATGC